TGACGTGTATGTAGTAGGGTGGGTGTGGATCAAGCGTAGAAGTAGACTCCCATTCACACTCACAACCTCACGATCAAACGATGAACTAGACCTACAGCAGCAGCCACCCGCACACCCTCAACCACACCCACACCCTCAAATCCTTAGTCTTTCAATAAAGGCAACTTCATTAGGAGTAATAAAGTATATGTTAGTTTATGCGAAAAGTGACAAAGTCAGAAGAGCAGCGAGCGAGAATAGTGTTTCGTACATTTTGAGAAAAAGTTTAGCGCAAGTAACCTTCTCTTTGCAAAAGTTTGAGGCAATCATGTAAATTGTAATAGTTGATACCGTTTATCAAAGCAGCTGCTTCGCATGCACTGGATTCCACAGCGATAGCACTCTTTGCTAAAGCAACTGCAGCAGTCGCATACGGAAGATAGCCAAATGAGGTACATTCAACAAATTCGAGTTTTCAATTTTTCTACTTCGACTCGAAATTTGGTCAAACGCTGGTCCTACACGTAGGGAAGATGGTTTTTGACAGCAGAAATCAGTTCACCTTGAAATCTTCTTATTTCTTTTCGAGCATCATTTGAATCTAATAAAAATATAATGCCGATTACAAGTCCCACTGAACTCATCATATTTAAATATTTTTCATATTATTTCATAAGAATATTCATGGCTTTTATTTTTTTACTTTATTTTGATTCTTAGTACGTTTCTTAATAAGACTCATAACTGGAGCTATTGCAACACTGAGGACGGTTTCACCATTATCTTCAACACAGTACCCATCCAGTACTTGTCAAATTATTTTGCTGATACTCGTGGTTATTTCGTGACGCCTAAAAATTTGAAAAAGAACCTAGATCAACTTTTAATTGCTTGTTACTGATTTACATGGAACCTTAAAAAAATTGACTATAGACGATGCATATATGTCAAATTTGAAACTTGAATTCAATTAAAATTTTAAGTTTCAAACCGACAGCACGCTGAGGATTCATGGCTCATACACATTTACACACATATATCATCGCAACAGTGTTATCAGCTTGAAACTGGAGAACTGGAAGTTGAAACAGGGAGCTTGAAATTTCAGTTCAAACTCATGTGTCAATTGAATTCAAGTTTCGAGTTTGATATGACTGAAAGTTATCGGCAATTGTATGTAGAAGTTTGTCATTAATAATTTGTTTACCATATGTGACCTTTCAGAAGACAATCTGTTGCCAATATGAGATATCAAAATTATTTCCTTCAAAGAATGAATAAATATGAAAGCCGTTCTAGTATGTTTTTCTTTCCGATTTCAATCATAATAAACAATTACAAATTATGAGTCATGATGAAAGTGTAATCGCCTGTTTTGATAACTAAATGAAAAAGAATTTCTGTCACATTTTATGATATTAAAAGAACAGAAATAAAACAGACGCAAAAAGATTCGCCCAACGTGGGGTTCGAACCCACGACATTGAGATTAAGAGTCTCACGCTCTACCGACTGAGCTAGCCGGGCTTGAGATCTTTTGTAAAAATTATCTTTCCATTCTAAACAGTTTCAGTACTAAAATTTTATTCCATCAGTAAGGATTTCATTCTTAATACTTCATAATTACATATGTGAAGAAGAGAAATTACAATTGAAATGTTGGAAATGAATTAAATTTCAACTGCAATCTATAACGCTATATTCTTAAAAATTTGATGTTTCCATATCCAAAAGTTATATGATCATATTGATTTTAATCTAGCAAATCGCTTTTCAATTTTAATCTGCTCAATAAATATGTGCTTTTGCATTGATTATTTACTCAAAACAATAATTGAGAAGAGATTTTCAAACAAAGAGCTCACATAGATTACATAATTATGTTACTTTGTATTTCATGACATTTAATTTTATTCCAAAACATGTCATATTGAACGCATAGTTAAAGTCAAGATAACATCCTGGACTAATAAAATATTGAAATAAACTTTGAGGGATCAATAATAAATAACTGATTATACTTCACCCTAAGCATTTTTTTCTTAATTATTAACCTTTACAATCGTAGTTCAGTTAAAGACAAATAATAATTTCATACATCCTAGTCATAATACTTATGATAAAAAGCAATTTAAATATTTATTATAATTATATTTCTAACTTATTTGGTTTGGTTTCTTTAAGAAGAGAAAGAGACAATCAAACACTTCGAATAATGATAAGTAATTTTCACATTGAAAAAAGTGAAATTTGCTATTTATCTAAATATTTCTACAACTTGACTAACCCAACAACAGTAAACATTGTGAGTTTAACAAATCAATTTAGTGCAATTTACGTTTCTTTTCTCGTTGGAAAGAAAGCTTTTCGCTAAAGTCACTTATTATTGTTATCACTTTATATTATCTTAAGCTCTGGACTTGAAAAAATGACAAAAATAACATATCTAGCATTTCATTGAAGAGAAACCAACAAGATGTTAAGCCCCCCCCTCCTCAGAAATAATTTCCCACTTAAAATGGGTCTTGTGAGCTGAAAATTTCAGGGATGAGTGATCCTGAAGAGATACGTCTCTGATAAAAATTTCAGCGCGATTGGCCTTACTAGACCGGAGTTTCAGCTGAATCTTAGGTCATTTTTGGCCTTCAGAAGAATCGATATAACTTCACCATAACATGAGATATTGAGCTCGGACTGGTCTCAAATTAAAGCTAATGTCAGTACGCAACTTTTGCCTGAACAGAATTTTTAAATTCAATCTTATTGATTGTTTATGACCATTTTAGTGGAAGGGTCTAAAAATTAGTATAAAAAATGGTGATGGAAGGACAGTAAATTCCACTTTTCTCATCGCAGAAATCGACTTTAAAAAAACTGGTCAGACAAAAGCTTAGTCTCATTGAGACCTTTGAAACAAAAAAAAATATTGGATATAGCTCAAGCCGAACGGGAGTTATATCAATTTTCCTGTCTGGAAACCATGTTTTGGGAAAACCTCTAAAGAAGTTTTAGAAACGGATTTTTCATTCAAACGCAGGAAATAATGGTATAATGGTAATATTTATGTGGAATTTTTGAAAGCACGCAATAGATGGTGTAAGCTAGCACTACAGGTCGTACTATATGATATAAGAATGTTGATTTCATGATGATAGAAGTAAAAAAGTAGCCTTCCCAAAAATAACAAAAACCGCGAAAATCTGTCCGAAAACCAGGTAGTAAGGTGGAAATCTCCTATGAAAGTCTGTAAAACTTTGACCTTTTTTAAAAATTTATATATATTCTGAAAGAGGAAACTTCGCTGCATCTTTCTATGATAAAAATTCTACTTCCATTACTTTACCAAAAAATGGCTTTTCTAAGGGGGGGGGGGGGCCTTAAACATGAGCTTTTTTTTATTAGACATCAATTTTTTTCAGACTCTTATCCATTTGTCTTTTCTTTTTGTAGCTTTCGTTAATTTTCGTTATTATTATTGCATGTGTATGATTCTGATTTATACTTGACTCTAAATAACAAAAAAAGAACCAGTGTGGGGTGTGGGTGGGGGTGATGGGTGTGAGTGTGGATATTAGTGTTGTGCATCTCTTCACCCACACCCACACTCTCCAGAGGATCCGCTTTTCCCCATTGCCCACATTCCAAACAGCAGCAAATAAAGAACCGATGTTTATTGAGGGCGTCAAAGAAAAAAACAGAAAATCTATAGCTTTTTTTTCACAGCATTAATGTTGTCCATCGTTTTTTTTATGAGAGGATGTTCTGGTGGAAGTGACTTTTGTAGGACAGCAAGTGCTTTTTCTGCAAAACAAAGTGCCTTTGAGTATTCACCCATGTTCATAAATACTCCACCGATGCCGTTGTAAGAATAAGCCAAAATGGAATGATTCGGAGGAAAAGCTATTTCTCTTATTTTAAGTGCTTCGCTTTGAGATAGAAGTGCTTTCGAGTGTTCACCCATGCTGCTATACAATGTACCGATGTTGTTGTAGGAAGTAGCTAAATCTGGATGATTCGGAGGTACAGTGTTTTCTAAGATTTTATGCGCTTTCTCGTAATATGTAAGTGCTTTCGGGTAGTCACCCATGTTTTTATACACTAAACCAATGTTGTTGTAGGAACAAGCCATATCAAGATGATTCGAAGGTAGAGCTATTTCTCTTATTTTAAGTGCTTCGCCGTGAGATTTAAGTGCCTTGGAGTAGTCACCCATGTTTGCATAAATATCTCCAATGTTGTTGTAGGATGTAGCCAAATTGGGATGATTTGGAGGCAGAGCTATTTCTCTTATTCTAAGTGCTTTTTCTTGATATTCAAGTGCTTTGGAGTAGTTACCCATGCTCTTATACACTAAACCAATGTTATTATAGGATTGTGCGAAATAAGGGTGATTTGCTGGAAGAACTATTTCTCTTATTTTAAGGGCTTTATCGTGATATTCAAGGGCTTTTGAGTAGTCACCCATGCTGTTATGCACTGCACCGATGTTGACGAAGGAAGTAGTCAAGTCGGGGTGATTCAAAGGCAGAGCTCTTTCTCTTATTTTTAGTGCTTTCTCGTGATATTCAAGCGCTTTCGAGTAATCACCCATCTTGAAGTACACCATACCGATATTATTATAGGAAATGGCCAATTTGGGATGATTCGGAGGCAGAGTTATTAATAATATTGTATGAGATTTTTCGTAATGTTCTAGTGCTTTCGAGAAATTATTCATGTCATCATACACTAAACCGATGTTGTTGTAGGATATAGCCAAATCAGGATGATTCGAAGTGAGAGCTTTTTCGTAGATTTGATGTGCTTTTTCGTAATATTCAACTGCTTTTAAGTAGTCACTCATCTTTTTGTACAGCAGCCCAATGTTACTAAAAGTAGGAGCCAATGAAGAATGATCTTCTGGTAGAGTTTTTCGCTTAATTTCAAGTGTTTCTTCGTAAAACGCAGCTGCTTCTTTGTATCTTCCTTGTAAATCTTTTACTACTCCAAGATTATGGTAAATTGCAGCTCTAGTATTGTCATCGGGTGACTGTTTTAGTTGTAAAAGATACAATTCTTCGGCTTTGTCGAATTTATTTATTGAGAGCAGCAATTTACCCAATCGTGACCAATCAATCTTATCAGCATCATCTTCTTGTATACTTTCTGTGAGTTGACGAAGTTGTTGGTCATCATCTGACGTGAGTATCAGATCCACTTGATAAAGTGGACTATTATTGTCAAGTTTTCGAATGTCACCAATACGAAAAATGCTGTGCATGGAGAAGAGTATTTCATCTTCATCCTTGAAGTAACTTTCCTCCCTGATAGAAGCAAATGAAGCAGACGAGATTCCAGGATCTATTGTCATTTCAAAAAGAATGCCCACCACCTCGGGCTTCCCTAAGGCTCCTCTGGCATATCCGAGGGAAACATCTTGAGTTTTACTAGTAGATAAAAAATTATTGAAAGCTATAAGTCCACCTTTGTTTTTCTGGAGTTTTTCAAAGTCCGATATTGATAATCCTTGTCCTCTAAATACTTGAAAGATCTTACCATCATAGAGACTGATCTGTTGCTTTTGTAAGCATTCAATTTGTCGGTGTAAATCACAAATGAAAAAGCCTATTGTAACAATTGTTCCAGCTTCTAACATTCGAAGAGACCAGTTGAGCATCTCATAAATAAAACACTCCCGACTATACCACCAGATTGATTTCTGTGGAGAATAGTCTCGTTCGAACTCAGAAATGACTTTTAGCTTAGCAGCATTCATGTTATCTTCATTACGCCAGAATTGAATAAAGTCTTTCTTAGCTTGTTCGTCATGTTTCATATCCAAGAGGATCTTCTTGAACAATTGCGTGTACATAAATGAGGGTTCCAGTTGATCAAGATTTTGACTGGAGCCTTCTTGATTGGTGCTGACAATGCTGATCGATATATCATCTTGATTGTCTCGCTTGACAGCTTGCCTTACTATGTCGCAGATCGGCGTGATATCCGTGTATGAACCTTTTATTTTGTTCCAATTATTCTCCCAAATTTCATGTGAAAAATTGTCATTGAGATAGATATAAATCCTATCGAGTTGAGGAATATCATGTATGAGAGGTACTACTTGTTGACCTGTAGAGCCCGTCAAAATTAGGATCACTTTTTTTTCCTCCTCCTCAATGAAGCAATCGATGGCTTCATCGTATTGTGTGAAGATATGAACGTCATTGACTATGCTTTGTAATTGGATCAGTGCATTTTTGCAATTTTTGTTCACCTGGTTAAAGTTTTCATCGATCCAAACGATCAAATAATTGTCGGCAACACGCCTTCTTCGTTCTATGACAGTCGATGACGTCGATTCAGCTGCGACAGCAGCCATTTCTGTTTTCCAATGTGGGTGTGGGTGTGGGTGTGGGTGTGGGTGTGGGTGTGGGTGTGGGTGGGTGTGGGTGTGGGTGTGGGTGTGGGGGTGGA